AGTTGAGCAAGATCTTTGAAGCAATCAATGGTCCCATTAGGAAGAGTGAGGAACCATTTTACGGCCGGCCCTTCCAAGGTTCCTACGAAGAGGCGACATTGGATCTCGTCCTCCACGGCGTGCATCAACATGTGAGTTTGGTACGCAGCCAAGTGATCATTGGGATCGGTGACTCCCTTATAACGGATTTCAGGGGCTTTCATACCCCTGGGCAGTTGAGCTTTCATCACTCTGGCAGTAAAGGGAGAAATTATCTCTACTGTGGGTCCGAAAGACTCGTCCTTGTCAACCTGCCTCTTTAGTTCCTCCATTTCTTTTCTCAATTTGAGGATGTCTCCGGCATCTTCATTGACGTGCCCCTCAGAATTTTCTCCAGATTCCTCAGTTCTGGGTCCCAACCTTTGGGACGCATTTTTGCGCATCCTCTTATGTACTGATATGCGCCCTTGACTTTCCACCTCCTCATCCTCTCCTTGACCTGTTTCTATCCCGGTCCCTTGGGACCGGGCCTCTCCTTCCTTGTTGAGCCATCCGATTAACTTTCAGACTATGGGGGAGTTGGCGTCGAATTTTTCTGTTGCTGCATGGGAATCCTTTGGACGAGAACTCTTAGGGGCTTTAGAGTGGAAACTGCGTTCACAAGATTTGTCTTGTGTTTCACGCCTGGATTGGGAGAGAGTTATTTGGTGTCTGAGATCCTCAGATGAAAGCTTCTCTTTCCCTTCCAAGTTGGTTCGCGCCTTAGCAGCAATTTTGTTCCTCTTGGACCGATTTTTGCCCATGGTAACAGTTAGAAACCTTTTCTTGATGAAAAAGGCGGACCAACGGGAGATAGCGGCCCCTGAGCAAGAAATTGGTCCTCCTGTATGACCGGCTGATAAATGCGGTCCTCTGTGGAAGATCGGTCCTCCTTTCACTCTCTCTCTCTTTTTTTTTTTTGAACAGTGGACCGACTAAAAGGAGGAGTCCTTCTAGGTGGACCGCGAACTTATCTCCTTCACTTGGAATGGACCGCTAATTCTTCCCAGGTCTAGGAAGAGGTCTTTTCGAGTGAACAAGAGTGAGACAGGCTCGCTATCAACTCCCCATAAGGTTAGGAAGCTTCAATCGGTCCCACGGTCGGCGCCAGTGATGGGTACCCAATATTTTCCCAAGGACTGTAGATCGGCCCAGGTTCAAATATAGGTATCCGGGCCTTATAATATTGAAAGATAATACGAGAATAATAATTGATAGTAATAGAAGCACTGCTCACTGGATAATAACTCAAATCGGCGGTCCTCTCCTTTATTCGGTCCTCTTAGGAACGGAATATGCTTAAGGATCGCCGGAATATCTTTTATTATTTACTCAAGTATTTTCTCTCTCCATTACAAGATATCTTAATCCCTCAATCCTTCTTTCTTTTATAGGCGCTCCCAACCGCTATCTTCTACAATAAAAGCAGTGATTGGGGAGAACATCCGCGCCAGCCTTGCTCTTTCCAGGGGGAGTGTATCTCCACTTGAGGCCGTCCACTGGAGGACAAACCCTTCCGTCCATCTCTTGCCTCCTGTCCTTCGTCCGTCTCTTTCTTCTCGTCTTTGTCCCTTCAAGTGAAAGGGGGGACTCCCCAAACTTCTCATAGGATTCATCTCTTTGTGGGTGGCTTACCCTTAATGGGCTGGCTCCAGCCCATCCTTAAGCCCCACCTCTCTTCCTTTTCCTATCTTTCTCTATGAACAACCTTCTTGTGATCGGCCCGGTACATTTTACCTGGGCCGGATGCTCCTTTTGATGGACGGGATCCGAATTGGGCCTAGGCCCAATTCGCCAGTACTCTCTCGATGGGCTTGGTTCCCATCAGGTAGACTTTATCGTTTACACTTTCACTCTTCAAATATTGTTTATTTTACATTGATGTTGATGTATATTGTATTAAAAATCTTATTGAAAATATATTTTATTTAATCTGGAAAAAATATTTCATTGAAAAAAATATTAGAATCAACAAAAATTTTGTTTCTGAGACCATCCACGTGTCGAATTCCTAGGAGTTCAACTCTCAAATTTTATATATGAAAAAATATTTCATTGAAAATATATATATATATATATATATATATATATATATATATAAGCATTAGGACTGGTTCACGTGAGAATGCACCTTGGTGAAAGAAATAGGAATAAAACCTAGCCTTTGGATCTGATGCATCATGCGGATCAGATTGCAACTTGTACTCAGATTTTGAGATAATGCATTTTCAAAGGATTTTGGTGCATTTTGAAATGACGCTAACGGTAAAGGCTACCATCAAATAGCTTTTTTCAAAACGCTTAATGTCAAACGGGGCCACTATAGTGTATTATCTTCCTTGATTTGTGTATTTTTTTTAACAAAAAAATATATTTTGTGTATTGTTATTCGAAAGTATGGACAAGATTTGACATTGGAGTGATACAACACCTAGACTAATCAAGTCATATCCCTAACAAGAAAATAGCATTATGAAATACTACCTCCGTCCCACTGTCTTTGTCCACTTTTGACTTTTGGAATTGTTAATCTAAGCACTTTGACTCATCAAATTCTCTCAATGTGTAAGCCTAAAAATAGTCATGTATGATCTTGTTTGATTCGTCTTAACATATAGATTATTAATATATAATTTCTATAATTTTTTAAAATACAAATTACAAGATAAAATGGATTAAAGAAATGCATTGGATGGTGTGCCAAAAGGTAAGTGGACAAAGACAGTGGGACGGAGGGAGTAACAAATACAGCTACAATATGTCCTACCCACCATTCCACACTCTAATTCATCCAAATATTCTACTGCCTCATATCCCTAATGCAAAAAATGTCATAACCATATAACAAATAGTTGCTTAAATCACTAACCCGTGCAAAGCACGGGTTATAAAACTAGTAAATAGTACTAAAAAGCACCGAGTACAACAGTACTAAAAAACAATGTTTTAATTTGTTTTTTATTTGAAAGCTACTTTTCTTTTTTGAAAATTTGAAAGCTACTTAAATTAAAGTTTTGGCATTTTATTTGAAAGCTACTTTAACTAAATCAACTTTAGATTTAGCATTTTTACCCGGCCATACACCTTGAGTGAATTACTCCGTATCATTTATGATAGATGAAGTTTGACAGTTTGCAAGCCATTTTGATAAAGGAGAGAGAAATTTGTTCTACCCACATTTTCTTTTTTGAGCACTAATAATTACGGAGTATTCTATTATGGCCTATTAAAACCTTGATAGATATCGACTTATTGCCTCTATTGGAATTGAATTAGTGACCTTCCAATTATAAGAGTAACTTTAGTGCCATAGGATGACAATCGGGAGGGCCATCTTCTCATACACTATCCAAATTAAAGAGTATTTTCATACATTATTTACATGATCAAATTTAATTGATTTCATTTCTTTATTCAATATTTATTTTATAAAAAAGTACAATCATGTCAGTTTATTATTTAGTAAAAATTTTAAGTAGTTTTTTTATTATATACTCCCTCCGCCCTAATTTAAATTGTGTGTTTAAGTTTTTAATGTTTGTCTGAAGTTGTTTGAGAAACGAATAAAATAGAAGTAAAATATTGAAAAATACCAAAATAGGAGTTTCATGTTTTATTCCCAAAATAGTAGTTAAAATGCATTTACATTACCAATCATGACCATGTACGTTACAAAAAAGTATAGTAAAATGCATATGTATAATGTCATGTTATCATAGTGCGAACTCCTATTTAGAGAAAAAAATCATGGAACTCTTATTTTGTTACTTTCTACATGTTTCACTTCTATTTAGGATGATTTTTCAGTTATTTTCAATATAATTTATCAAACAATTAGAGAAAATTAGAATATAAACTTTACAAATTGGAAACTACATGAGATTTTCTACGAAGTAAAAGATGATATGACTATATTAGTTTATCAAATGAGTAATAAAAATAAGAAAAAGAAGTAAATGAAATTTGATTCCGTAAATAATAAATATGCAATTTAATTTGACACAGAGTCATGGAGGAAGTAATTTTTATTTTTTTATTTTATGCTTACAATCAAATAGATAGAACTGAATGAAGTCGGTCAAGCATATATATACGGAGTAACACGTAATAAGAAGATATTTCCGGGAGAGTACACACTTGACACTATTATACTTGCACTGCAATGATTGTACAATTATTATTATTTATTTCAATATTTATCTATTCCAAATTCAATTAATTCATAATCATACATGTTCAAATTAAAATAAAAAATTAATTCTTTGGTGTTTCAAAATTTAATAGTTTTTCTTCGTCTAAACCTTTTTTTATTTTTTGTAATTTTTGGCTTATTTTTGTTTGAATTTTTGTGATTTTATATAATTTTATTTTTTCAGTTTCTTTATTCAATTTGTTGTTAAGTTTTATTTGACTCTTTTTATTACTCCCTCAATCTGAATTTAAATTGCATGTTTTATTTTAAGTGTTTGACTGAAGTTATTTTTTATATAGTTTATTTGAAAATTTGGGTTGATTTAAAAATAAAAATTACATACTTAAAAACTATGAAGTACATCAAAAGTTCTACAAAATAATAGATAACATCACTATACTCCCTTCGTTCAAAAATTATCTTCTCGTTCACTATTCAAAGGGACAAACTTTATTCACTTTGCTGGCTTATTTTCGTTACCTTTTTGATAAAATAATACATTCATGTCATATCTAGTTTTGTAGATCTGTTGATGTAGTTTTTTAATATGTAATTTTTATTTTTTAATTTCGTACCATTTTTCATATAAAATGATTTGAAAATAACTTCAGTCAAACATCATAAGGCCAATAGGAAAATAAATTCAGTCAAACAACGGAAACAATTCTTGCTACTATCATACTCCGGGGTATATGCTAATCTTTTAAATGTGCACACGAGAAACTCATCATGGGGATTTTTGGGTGCGAAAAACTCTGGTGTACCACATAGAATGAAGAATCATATGGAACTGATCATACTTTACAGGTTCAGCATGCCAAACAAAGTGTTTCTGCACCTCCCTCACTCCTCTTTCCATCTCAACATACTTTTCATCTGAGATAGATAGAAGTATCCTCTTCATGTTCACAACCTCCTTCTCCAAAATGAAAACCGCAAACGACTCCCAATTCAGAGCCTCAAGAAAGGGAGGGACATAATCGTCCGATATTATCACGGGGACGCATCCGTAGTTGATGGACTCCACCACCCGGGGACTAAAGACTGCGAAACCCCTCGGGCATATGCAGTATTTGCTTCTCTTCATGTACTCAATGTAGATCTTGTCGCCTTTCACGTGAGGAATGGGCCCCGTGATTTTCATGTCGGGATCTTTTCCCCAGTAATTTACTAAAACGGGGCGCACTCTCCCGTGCATCTGGCCTGCAAAGAAGGCTAAGATTGACCTCTCTGAAGAAGAAGGGTTGCCACCATTGTTTTCACTAGGGTTCTTAGCTGAGCGAACATATGTTGTTGGTATAGACACATCCTTTCCCACAACAAAGCCTGCTCTTATGTCAGCATTGCATAGTCCTCTAATGCAATTTACCATTTTTCCTCTTGTTTCAGCTGGAGCCTATGACAGTAATGCTTCATCAGTAATAGTGCCATTACTCATAGAATCGATTATCTAGTTCAACTCAATGGCGTATTGACCATTTTACCCTTGTCTAAGGAATTACATTGTGAAAGCTAATGAAAGATGTTTGAAATTATTACTACATACCCAATCATGGCAAGCAGCTAGAAAATGATCTTCTCCATTAGTTCTGTTCCAGAAAGGGTACTTTCCTATGAGTGTGTCCACATAGTTCTTCATGTACTCTATGAGGTTGTTGCGGCTGTGAGAATGTGGCACGTATAGTGTTAGCTCCAGCAGCCGCGAACTAAATGGCAAGTAAAACAAGTGAGCTTCGGTTGGAATTTCCGTGACAAACTGCTTGTTTGCTTCCAATAGCTTCAAGAACCATCCCTCCGCTGCATATATCCCTTCGAGTATTGATGAATGGAAGATCGGCTTTTCTCCATCCTTGTAGATATACACCTTAAGATTTTCCTCCATCAGTTCATAGCTCCTTCAAGTAAATTCCCAATTTCAGAAACAAATCACGCACACTTACATATATTAGGGATTCATTCGTTCATATCTGGCCGATCTTTAGCACAACTAGGGGTAGATGATCATGGATATATATACTCCGTATCAAATAGAAGAATAACCAGATGGATGTTATTGGCAATGCCTTTTGAACATTGAAACATTCCGGTACACAGACGCGTAGAGCTCCACATCACTTGGCATGGCAGGGGCATTCATAATCTCTTGTTTTATCCGAAACAGCTCAATGTCAACTTGTGAGTGTGGCTTTGTTAGCTGCTGCTGCTGCACAGAAAGAAATGGAAATATTCATAAAGCATATTAAGGCTCCGTTTGGCATTAACTTTAATATTTAGCTTCATCATTCTCAAAAGTAATCTGCCCCATTAGACACTAATGCTAATAAAAAAACAGCATTCCCAAACAAACCCTAAATCTTTACATGCTTGTTGAATTCCCAAGATTAGTGCAGGGAGTTCATATATATACCGATGAATGCGGGGAAGAATAACTCTGCAGCAACAAATTGTTCATCTCAGATATTGTAACAACCACTGTTTGGGAGTCTCCACCCGGAGCCGATGATAACCCACTGTGATTCACAGAAACTGTGGGGGAAATTGAGCTTGCATTTTGATCATGAAACAAAGAAAAGCCATCATTTTTCGTGGTATCATTAGCAGATGGTGATGGGCTGTTATTGGAAAGGAAGAAACTTTTGCCAGAAAAGGGTAAGAGTTTCTTGGCAGAAAGGAAAGAAGACATCATAGTATGATGTGGAAGCTCAAGAAACTGGAAAAGCATGATCAAAGCGAATGATATACATAGTACAAACACAAATTTCCTCGAACCAGTTTGATTTGGACATGCAAAATTGGATCTTTGATCCATTTTACCAGAGATCGGTTTGATCTAATCACATGGGGTTCAAGCTCCACTGATCAACTCTAATGGAGCATAAATTATATTTAATGGATCGGGGGCTCTGAAGGTTGAGCAGGTAGGGATTTGTATTGTATTGTATTCTTGAGCTTCAAGATTGAAATGTGAATCTGGTCTCGGATATGGGACAGGAAATTCAAGAAACAGGTCGAACCAAATTTCCTCAGATTTCCCTCATTTTTGCTAGTTTTGTCAACTTTAAGTTTTTACCCATGTTTGGTTTTAAAGAATTTCAAAGAAAGGAAAATGAGTTTTCTTCATTCATTTTAATAAAAAATATTTGTACTAAATAACACTAAAACTTAAGTGATTTCTTTAAATAGCATTTAAATTATTTTATTCCCTAAATAGCACTTAATAATATCCATAATGACCAGTGGTGGCGAACATTTACTTGAACAATGACTAATAAGTAATGACTAAAAGTGCTACATTAGGAAGAAAAACACATATAGTGCTATTTAGGGAAAGTCATTATGTTTTTAGTACTATTTATGTAAATTCCTAATTTAATAAAATAGGAGAAATATAATTTTTTTCTTAGTATATTTTGGCTTCTCATTTTCTTTTCTTTTGTTTTTCGAATTCCTTGAACCAAACATAGTGTTAAAAAACAAGTTTTTGTTGATAGATTAAGGGGAGAAAAACTAACATGAGAGAGTGGTGTTTAGGTCCTTTTTGTTGGGTTAGAATTTCAGAGTTGGATAATGGAAGAAATTAAAAGGGGTTGAAAGAAAATAGAAGAAATTGGAAAAAAATAAAAGAAATTGGAAAATGTTGAAAAAATTCAAGTGTAAAAAAATCATTCAATTAAATTATATAAAAATAATATTAGATATTGATATAAAAATAATTTTATTAGATTTATTATATAAAATATTTTCAAAATATTATTTTATCTGATTAATTTGTAATATATATTTTATTACTTATATGCCAAATTTTGAAAACGATTGATTAAAAAAATTTAAAATTAGACGAATACTCTAGCAGTTGATAACATATGAGATTAGAATACAATTTTATTCCTAAGTGTTTTGAATTACCTTACCAGAGAGCGTTTCCCCAAACTTCCATCCATCGAAATGCGCAATTTATATCGTACAACCGGCTGTACGGGAAGAACCGTACAGCCGGCGTTTAATTTGGGCTAAAGGAAGGTCGGCAATGAAGAAGGTGAACTGGATCTGCGGCGATGAAGAAGGAAGATCTGCGGCGATGAAGAAGGAAGATCTGCGGCGGCAGGTTAGGGCGAAACCGATCGGCGATGAAGGCGGCAGGTTTGGGTGAAATCGATCGGCAATGAAAAGACTCTTCCAATCCGCTATTCCGCGATTAAGTTCATGTACGCTAAGCTCTAGTTCCAAATATGTTCTAATTCCAATATGGTCTTCAACAAGATTTTAGATTTTCATGAATGGTACGTTATTTAAGAATGAGTACTAGGCTATTTAGGAATGAATATTACTAGATTTTAGAATGAGTATTACGTCATTCATAAATTAATATTGTACAAATGTGCGAAAATAAGTACTATGTTATTTCAGAATGAGTACTGTGTTATTTCAGAATGAGTATTACAATATTTCAAATGAAGTGTTATGTTTGTGCGAGAATGAGTACCACTTAACTTCAAAATGAGTACTACCCGGATGTACCTATCTGTACGACAGCTTGTTGTACCATATACTTACTCATCTAAATGCCATAGGCTGCAAGTTCGTTGAAAATTCTCTAACGAACGAATCATCTCTCTCCTTCCCAATCCCTTATCGGATTCCGTTCACCGAGAAAGGGACCGATCTGGAGGAGGCATCTAATCTTTTCGAATCCGGAGGCCGTAATTCTTCAGCAATCTCTACGTGCAATTACGCAAATACACACGGATCATCGGGATGGATCAGATATTGGGGAAAGTCGGTTCTTACTGGGTCGGGCAGAGAGCCTCGAAGGAGCTCAGCTCCGTTGGCGATGATATCAACGTAATCCCCTTCTCCTTGTTTTCTCGCCCTTCCATTTCCTAATTTTTGCATTTTTTGTTTGTTTTGTTTTGTTTAATTTTGCGCGTCAGTTTCGTTCCGATTGTGCATTTGACTCGTGGATTGCAGCAATTTTGTGGACATTGAATGATTTATGGCTTAAGATTATGAAATTCAACCCAATTGGTGTTCATTACCCTTACCTATGAGCTTAGGTATATTGACACCTTCCCAAAGACATTGTTTTTAAATGAAATGGAGCTTTTTGGGTTGAATCCCTACTTGCTAGCATGTGCCAAGTCTAATATCAATGGTGAATTAAGTTCACTTCACCTTTTAGACAAAAACTTTGGATATATGAATGCGAGAAACCCGTGTAGTGTGAAATTAGAAACAGGTAATGTTTCAACAATGTAATTAAAAAAACAAGTCTATGGATAGTTTCCGAAACACAAGTGCACTCCTCAACTCCAGAGAGCTTTGGAGTTGAGAGATTGCATGTATGCTTCCTTTCATTGTGATTCATATAAACTTAAAGATCTCCAATGGTGTGTCACTTTTTAAAAGATATGTTTTTTTCAATTTTATATATTTGACATTCGGTATCTGAATGGTTTTCCCTGCCTAGTCCATATCAAGCAGCATAGAAGGAGGAGCCACATGGTTGGTTAACAAAATTAAAGGTGTGTTCATATCCGACATGTCAATACTTGATTCTGGTTAATAATTTGCGTATCTTTGTCTTGCCCCTCCTAGTAAGTTGAATGTTCATGTCTTGGTTGGGCTGAATTTGCAGGAAAAGTTCAAAAGCCATTACCGGAGCTGCTGAAAGAGCATGACCTGCCCATAGGCATTTTCCCTAGGGATGCCACAAACTATGAGTTCAGCGAAGAGACGCGAAAGCTGACCGTGTATATACCGTCCGTATGTGAAGTTTGTTATAAGGACTCATCCGTTCTGCGGTTCAATACCACAGTGAATGGGCATCTGGAGAAAGGAAGGCTAAGTGACATTGACGGAATCAAAACGAAGGTGATGATTTGGGTTAGAGTCTCTGCAATCTCAACTGATGAGAACTCTTCAAAAGTACACTTCTCAGTTGGGGTGAAGAAAACCAGGAACAGAGATGCTTATGAAGTTAACAGAGATGGAATCAGAGTTGACAAATTTTAATTAGTTATAACAATCTTCTGTATTTTTAATTTTATTACAGAGTATTTTATATACACACACACACGTACTCTTTGCACTGCGGTAATATGCACACTTGTGGTTGTGGGAAAATGTACAATACGGAATACATGAAATTGGAAGAGTTTGATTTTTACCCACAGATTATATGAATGAACAATATGTGAAACCAGTGGTTTGTTTTTGCAAAGTAAAATCAGAACTGAGAAGAGATTGGTTTGAACGATTGACATCAAATTTACTCTGCTGATTGTTTTAAAAACACTCTTGAATCGTGATGGGGGAATAGAGCAAAAAAATTTGAAATACGAGGATGTCAGGTAAAAAAAAGGTATTGCACCAGCCGGGAATCGAACCCGGGTCTGTACCGTGGCAGGGTACTATTCTACCACTAGACCACTGGTGCTTGGGTTTAAATTTGTGACGTCAACAGTGAAAAACAGTTCTTAAAGAGACACAAAGAAGTGGCAGTCAGATACCAATAGAAAATGATACGGATTGCAAAATCTTCAAAACATAGTTTTACCCCATACATTTTAGATATTGGTCCATATTTTTTTTTTGTATTAAATTAGATAAATTTTAATTATCAATTACATTAAAATTGCATAGCATATTAATATAATAAAATAAATTTTAAAAAGTAATCTGCTATAGACATATAAACTAAACTAATAATAATAGTAACACTCCATAGAAATATGTATACGGATACAAATGAGAGCTAAAGAAGGAAACTTCAACCCTCTATGACATGTCTAGGATTATAGAGACCAACCTATAGACAAATATTCTTACGTGGTTTTAAGGTCTATTGTCCATTATAGATCTGAGTGCATTGATATCTTTTTACAAATAAAAAAGATTTACTTGTCAACCTATGAAAAGCCTAAATGCAATATTAATAATGAAAGAACCCAGATTTATTAAGTCTAACTTATGATACACATTTGAATCAGCCCCAATATATCCTCAATATGTTAATCGAAGATAATTTTGAATAACGCTACTTATATGCTATTTTACTAGTGCGGTTGCCAATATCTTAGAGCATCAACAGTGGCGAGGCAAATGCCTGCCACGCCATGCCACATCAGCAAATTATCTATTTTGCCATGTTTAATTGGCTTGTGCAATCCTCCGTGCAAGGCATGTCTTGTGCGAGGCATTCCTTCTCTACTTTTTATTTTTTTTATTTTTTTTTAAAATTTTTTTATTTTTAGAAAAAAAGGTTTTTTAAATGATGTGCATATATTTTTATAAAAAAATATAAGTAAAATTTTTTTTTATAATTAAAATATGTCACAAAAGTGTAAAAAATGACAAAAACAATTACTTGCCACTGCATGACATGTCACTCCACCCACTCGCCACACGCTGATTGGGCTTTTTTTGATTGGTCGAAATGCTACACGTCACCGTGTGGCATTCCATTTTTTGACTTGCCATTGCCAATGCTCTTATTAATCTATTATGTTAGTATGTACCGATACCTTGCCGGTGCACTAAATGGTGTAAATTTATAGTTTGCATGTAACACAACCAAGTAAATTGTTGTCAAACTCATTTGTACTCTTCAGACCTCTAAAAATGAAAAAAATGAAATTGGTCCAGTCTCAAAATTACATTTTGGGCCCAATTTTATTATTTTAGAATAATTATGCTTCAAAATTAATGATGAATTTAAAAATATATTGTTTTAAAATTTTAGAAGCCCTGAGCGGTAAGTCACTTTGCACACCCTCCGGACTACCCATGGTACTCTTGTTTGTGGGGCCCACATCCACCAAGGAGCAAAAATTGGCAAGAGCCAACGGTGGAAGAAGAAAAACCGAGGTCCACAGAGTGAAAGGATTACAGCTCCCAAAACATTTTTTTTTCTTTTTTTTTTTTGTGCGGAATAATTGGGCTTCTGGACTTTTCCACCTACACCCCCACAAAAAGAAAAGGCAATTTGGATCAGGCCACGAGGTCGCCACACGCCTCTAACACATGGATGTACACGTGTCTCCCTCTCACCGGCCCTCACAAACCCTAGCTTCTTCTTCGTCGCCACTATATAATTCCTCCATTTCCTTCCTCATCTCTTCACACACACACACACACACAACAATCTCTGCTCTTTCCATTTCTTCTCATACCATCAAAAATGGCGTTCTCAGCTGTTTCCTTGTGCAAGCCTTCTGCCGCCATGCTTCCCGGCCTAACCATCCCACCTTCTCCGATCTACTCCGCTCCTCCGAATCTTGCTTTTCCGAGGAAGCAGAGTTCCCTCTTCTCTGCATCCGCCACCGCGGAGGCGGCCGATGTGCCCCTCACCGGAGTGGTGTTCCAGCCGTTCGTGGAGGTGAAGAAGGACGAACTCACCGTCCCTTCCGCCCCTCAGGTCTCGCTCGCTCGCCAGAGGTACCCTGACGAGTGCGAGGCTGCCATCAATGAACAGATCAAGTTAGTTCCTATCCGATTTACTCTTGAGATTTACGGATTTTATGAATTCGTTTCAATTTTCTGGTTTCATTTCTGCCTGATTGTGATTGTAATTGGTCAATTGTTCGATTTTTTCAGTGTTGAGTACAGCGCTTCCTATGTGTATCACTCCATGTATGCTTACTTTGACAGAGACAACGTTGCGCTTAAGGGAATGGCCAAGTAAATCTTCAAATTTTCCAGTGTTTTAAATCTCCTAATCTTGCTAATATGCCAGCTAGTGTTTATATGAATCGTAAGATCTATCTGGTGATATGAAATCTTATGGACAGATTTTTCAAAGAATCCAGTGAGGAAGAAAGGGAGCATGCTGAAAAGCTGATGAAATATCAGGTTTTTCCCGTGCTTTCATCACGATTCATAATTTCGATTCATAAATTTTTTGATTCATAATGTTCTTCATGAATGTTTAGTTTAATGTTTTTGTGGTGATGATCGAGTGACAGAACACCCGTGGAGGAAGAGTGAAGCTTCACTCAATTCTGATGCCTCTTTCGGAGTTCTCACACAGTGAGGGCGATGCGTTACATGGTAAGTGAAACCCCTTTTTTTTGTAAATTTCTTTTCCTGCAGTCAAGAATGCATAGCTAAGATCGATCTCTGATTTCATGATTCAGCAATGGAACTTGCCTTGTCCCTGGAGAAGTTGGTGAATGAGAAACTCCTGCACCTTCATGCCGTAAGAGATCATTTGGATCTTAATTAATCTATGTCAATGCTTATCAAGTTATTGTTCTTGATTGGGTTACAGGTTACTTGATCATTTGCAGGTTGCCAACAAGAACAACGACGTCGAGACTCAAGATTTCGTTGAGAGGGAGTTTCTGGAGGAGCAGGTTGAAGCCATCAAGAAAGTTGCAGACTATGTTACACAGCTGAGAATGGTTGGGAAAGGGCACGGTATGTTGTTTCGTTACACAATAATCATCTGATCTGATCAGCAAATCGATCATAATCATGGTTTGATCTTTGATTCTTCTTCCACCGATGCGTTATGTGTTTTTAACTTACACAGGAGTGTGGCACTTCGATCAAATGCTGCTCCATGAAAACTAAGGACTGGAGAGGAATGAAGGGGAAGGATGTGCTTTGTTTTGATCTTTATATCTCCATCTCAGGATGCTTACATCTTATGTTGTGCTTCTTCATGTCTAGATGCAATTTCTGAATGCCTTTAGAGGCATTTTTGTTTTTTGTTTTTGTTTTTCTCGTGTATTTCTCGCTAGATATTTTCTGATGGTGTTAGGGTGGGGTGCGTTTGTGGTAGTTATTGTTGTAATGGGAGTCAATTATGGATGGAATGTGTAATATTTATCTGCTTTGGTTGAAACAGTGACCTGTCTCATGCTCTCTTAAGTGTGTGGGTTAAGGTTATAGGTAGAAATGTGGATTGCGAAACCCATAAATGAAGAATGGTTTTTTAGTCGATGAAAGGAGAGGTAACTGCGCGCCACTGACCCAGATTATAAGGGAGTCTATTAGTTCTTTTCTTTTCTATGTTTTGATTAGTAGTACAACAAATCACATTTGTATGTTATTTTGTTTTAATGGCTAGATACACCTGACATTGGGAACTACTATCATGAGATGTCTCGGGTTTTAGTTCAAACAATTGACACTTTTAGCACTGATTTTTTGATAAATTTTCTACATCGGCCCGATCCGAACTCATCTCTACTTTCTTCAATGACATCTTACAAAATTTAGTTGACTTTATAGTCAAATTTTGACTCTAGAGTCAACTTAATTTTGAGCGATGCAATTGGGATGGGGAGGGGGGGAAGGGAGTTGGGCCGTAGGGGATCTATAATGGTTCAAAATCGTCAATTATTTGAACAACTATTACTAAAAAAAGAGGTATGTGAAATATGAGGGAAACGATGATATTAAATTTAAATGATTTTGTTTGAGTAGTTGCGAAGGAAGAAAATTGTTACACAGACTCACAGAGATGATGTTGTAGTATAAATAAGTGCTACAACATATTCATAGTCATGCACAATCACGTAGATAAACAAAGACTATGAATAATACACAATAATATGCACAATAATCCCAATGTCATCCTATGATTTGGGTTTGAATTAGGGACTTAGGGTGCTCTGCACGAAAAATTGACGATTTCTATCTTACCTAATCCCTTGGTAAACCATCCATCTCACTCTGACCTGAACCCACCCCTACCCCTTCAATTTGTAGCATGCTAGCTAAGTGGAGACTGAAACTTTTAAAGTTGGCTATTCATGTTTAGGTCTCGAAAAAATCAACTGATTCGAAACGACAGGTGCAGATCGAACCTGGACCAAATAGATTCAAGGTTGGTCTTTTATCCATAAAAATTTTAACATTCTGGTCCTGATCCTGTCCGGTCTAAATCCAAAATAATTTCGGTCCGAATAGATTAGATCTAATTGAACTAAATGACTTGTTGACTTGAAAGACCAAAAGAATAAAACTCTACTTTTTATGTTCGACATTTCAAGTTGAGGATCTATTTTGCTACTTCATCGGTCCTTTGCTCTCAATTTAAGAATATGTTTATTATTCGTATGGTCAAACTTTAATCTCTTTCTATATCTATTTTCATGACTTACTTGATAAAAAATATAGTCTTATCACTAGACCTGTCAAAAAATGATCCGACCTATTTTTTACTTGAAACTTGATCCCAAAATACTGTGTTTTGAACAAAGTTTTTGGTGTTTGAACCCGAAAGACCCGCTAAAAATGGGTCAAACCCGAACTGACCGACCCCGCTAATATAAGACTTTTTCAAAATCATATATTTTACTATGAAATATAATGCTATAAAAATAAGGACATAATTATATTTTTTTACTACTCGTTTTAGTGCATATATTTATATTATTGGACAAAAGTTTAATGATATTACAAAATCATCTTACCTTGTTAAAAAATATACATTTTTAAAATTCTTTATATTGATTTATGAGAAATTTATCTAAATACTACTGAAACATAGTGACTTTCCAATGTAGTACCATATGTTTTTATTTCACCATATAGTATCATTGTTCAATGTCCACTGGTCGTTCAAGTAAATGTCCAGCGCCACTAGACATTATCCAATCTGTCCAGGTCTGCAGCCCTTTCGGACTAAAGTATAAACATGGTAATCATAAAATTTAAATATTTCAAACATTTTTATTCATCAAAAAATTTATTCATAACAGAAACAGTACGGAGTTTTCAATGTTGCAGAAAATTAACAAATCACAATCACATATTATAATTAATTCATGTCTTTTGAAATAACATTTCAAAACCATCACATCCATCTTGACAATCTTGTCCCCGTCTGCTGTTAGGATTACATCACATCATTCTTTTTGTTTACCTACGTGAAGCAAATAAAATATACTACACGCTCAGCGGTGAAGCTGTGTAAGGATATCTAATGCATCAAACATACACATAAATTGAATCTCAATTTATAACCAAGTCATTTGATATCATGCACATAATATTCAATTTAGATATTCAGTATTAATCCATATCAGATCATTTTATATCAAACGCATGTTATTCAATTCAAATATTCAATATTCATGATATCAACAATGTTCTTAAATTATTCTTAGTCTAAGGCCAATTCATAACAATGTTGTTAAACTATTCTTAGTCTAATGCCAAATTCATATTGATAAGAGAGCTCATAAACTATAATTAGTCTAAGGTATTTCTAACCGAGCTCTTAAACTATAATTAGTTTAAGGCATAACACAAGAATCGATGACCTATCCAACGAGTCTTTATAGGTCACGCTCAAAATCGAACAACGGACTACTCACCGTCGGGTTGGATGGTACCCCCAAAGGAGTAGGTACTCAAGTTTAATTTGTGGATCTCGTACGTACGTACGTCAATTTTTAACCCTGGCCACCGGACATCATACTTGCAAGGCTTGACTAAATTCGACACATGGGTATATCTTAGAGTTTTTCTAGATAACCTTAAAAACCAATATCATTTTCATAATCATTATTTAAATCATTATATTTGTGTTTTTAATCATGGTTCAATCATCATAGTCAATAATCAATAACAACATCATAATATTTCATAACAAACAGCGGCCTAGCATAGAGTGTTAACACCCTAGCTTACCGTCATGCATCACACAAGATTTTGGTATTTATCAAAACATCATATTTTGTTTAGAAATGATATTCATACTGATTTGTAGTTGTATGGTATCAAAAATAGGATTTCATAGTTCAAAAATTAGGTTTGTGGAAAAATTCTTGGACAAGACTACAAGACGGTACCTCGGTACCGGTACCAACAATGGTTTTTAACAAGTAATTTCTTAGAAACTTTTTAACATGCCCAGAAGTCAAAAATAATCATAAAAAGTTGAAAACCACTTGGTTGTTTCATGCATAAAAAACCAACACCGAAAACCGAACACCAAACGTCGAACATTGTGGTTTTGGTTTGGGCAAAGACCATGGTTTTTTGGAAACTTAAAATACTTATGAAAATCATTTGTTTGATGCAAAGAAAATGTTTTCATGATTTTGATAAAATTATTTTATGTTGAGAGCCAAGCCTTAAGTTGATTGTCGGTTTTTTATTACAATGACTACCAACTCAACTATGTCTTCAAAGTTTGACTTGTTCTTGGTTCTTGTACTTTATGCTTTGCCTTGCTTCCTGCCTTAAGTCTTTCAATGAAGCTTCTTTATATCCAGAGCGATTTGGCAATCATCAAAACCTATCAAAAATTGAACACAACTTTACTACAATATTATTGTTAAATGTGTTCAAATAATTTCCTCGCTTTTGATAATGGAAAACAAGACGGGGATATGCATATAGAAAAAAGTTATTTTTGAACTTTCTTTGAAAAGTCTCCCCTTAGTTTATGCATAAGTTAAAACAACATTCCTCTTTAATTTATGAATAGCCCTTATCTTCCCCCTTTTGAAATTAACAAAAACATTTTTAAAAAATATAAAGAACTTTATTTATTAAGGGAAACGCAGAGTACACTATGGAAGCATTAGAAAAAACATATAAGGAAATAGAAAAGAAAAGAGATAAGAAAAGAGAAGGGTAATTTATCTAAATAAGACTAAAACATAATGACTTTCTCAATATAGGACCATATGTTTTTATTTTCCAATGTAGGACCATTGGTCATTATTCATTAGTCATTATTCAAGTAAATATCCACCATCATTGGACATTATTTCTCTCTCTAGACATTATTAAAGACTATTTAGAGAATAAAAAAATTAAGTCCTACATTGAGAAATGACTTATGTTTTAGTCCTATTTAGTGCAAATTTCACAAAAGGGAAAAGGGTAATTTACCTAAATAAGACTAAAACATAATGACTTTCTTCATCCTCGTCCTGCTTGTCTTCATAATCTTCAATTCCACGTCAATTACATCCTCATCAATCTCTTCATCATCGGGTGAGCTTGAGGCAATGTATGATTCGTTGTTTTCGAACGGTGTGTAGTCTTGTCTGAGGAAGGTGGGTTGGTACAGAGGAGGCACATAGTTGACACGGTCGAAATAGACTTGCATGGCATAGCCTTGGCGTTGAACTGCCGTGTCAGTGCGCTCAATGGCGCTGCCCATCCCGTCAACTGTAACGCTTCGAAATATATCTTAAAAGTTATAATAAATTTCTGATAAAATATAATTTTAATTATTCGTATGAATAAAATAAAATATATAACGACAATGTTAAAAATTTGTTAATTGGAAAGTTGACTTTTAATAGTCAAATTTATATGTTCGTCATTGTGCCCACGCCTTGGGGGGGGGAGGGGTGAATAAGGCATTGGAAAAATTTTTGCAGTTTGATAAATTTGGTGTTGGTAAATGCGGAAGCAATAAATAAATGCAGAAATAAAAGCGTACAATAAGAACACACCAATTTTTAGACTGGTTTGGGAAACTCCTACTTTAGTACCTTAAGGCTTCTCCTTAAGGAGTTCCGAATCCACTAAATCTCGGTGTCTTGAACTCTGTCAAAGCACCGCACTAGTTTTGGCAAACAAGCGTTGCCAATAGGATTCAATCCCAGGTTTTACAACAGCTATCTCGAACCGCTTACAATAAAGATTTCACGGCTATCTTCGACCGTTCCCCTAAGAATTTCAAAGACTATCCTTGAACCTTTAACCAAGGATTTATACGACTATCCTTGATCATTACAACTTAAAAATTTAACGGCTATTCTCAACCGTACGAAGGCGTGTTTGTAGAACACAAGAAATAGTTCTATACAACGGCTTGAATACAAAATTGAAGAACCCCGGTGTAGAACGAAAATTTTCTCTCTCAAAAGTATAATATAAACATATGAATATGAGAGTATATCAATAAAACAAAAGCTCAAAAGTGTGTGTATAAAAATCAGGTGATTACGACTCTTGAAATAGCCAAAATATTGAAAATAAAGAATAAAAGAATTAACACACTTAAAATATAAAGAGAGAGTGTTTGGAGCTTTCTTTCTTGTTGAAATTGTCCGTTTTTTTCTCTTTCTCCAAATTAAAACACTTTACTTTCTTTTAAAAAAACTATATTTACCCATAATTTTTCTTACGCTATTTATCATATCATACTTTTTCACTAATAATTTACTAATCACATCAAAGTCAAAATTAGAAACTAAAAAATAAGAATAATGAATGATTCATTGAAACGGAGGGAATAATACAAACCATTGAATTACTTCACACTTTTCAACAATGGTAGGCACAATTTTCTAACTTAAATTGGCAGGACTAGGCTCGGCTCGTCCAAAGCTGTTAATTTAGCAGGCAGGTAGGTCCTTTTCACATAGGATTCCGGCCTTTATCAAACTTAGAGCTTAAAGCTAAGCCCCCCCAACTTGCCAAGAGCACTAACATTAAAATATTGTAATCCGTATGTACTTTTTCCATTCCAAAAAGTTTTTTAAGTTACAAAAAAATGATTTCCTATAATTTCTTTCCATTTTTTTTAAAAAATCACTTTTACTATTTACTTTTTCATTCCCTACCTATTACATCATACTCCCTCCGTCCCTAAATATTCACAACATTTGCTTTTTCAGCAGTCGCAGGAACTTTTATTTATTTCGACG